CGGCTGATAGAGTTTTAAGAGAAGCCTTTATTTTATGTCCGAAATGCAGTCAAAGGCTTGACAAATCCGACCGAGGGGCGATAGCAATTAGAAGGTTTAATTTAAATTTTTAATTTAGATAATCTATTTTTAATTTAAAAATGTTGGTCAGACTAGGTCTCGAGCCTGGGCTTCCGAATGACAGTGCGCAGTGCTAATCACTCGGATATCGCGGCCGGTGTAAATATAAATGGGAAATACTCCATAATGTGCCATAAGAAGGTCTCAGGCCTTGCTATATTTTCACTTAGAATATCTAATATATAAAATTCTCGGATCACAGTGTCACTTCATAAAACGAAAGAAGGCATCAGTCCTTGACTTAAGCAGAGGCTTCGTTCGAAGGCATATACGTGACTCGTTTCCTTATGACAATTGTTAATTCAATGAATTATGCAGATTGTATCTGAATGAGAAAAAAAAACTCTCAGAGCAGGACATGGGTTAATTTTTAGTGCATATGCGATCTCAATCAACCTTTATGTGTCGAAGTAATTTAAAGATTTCCTGAATTGATAACGGCTGGGCCGAAAATTATTCAACTTTATTCAGAAAATCCCTGTAACCGATTCAAGCGATATTATCTTAGTTACGATTCGATTCACTTGGCATATAATGCATTTGGCAGCTTATCGTGTATCCTTGTTGTTTGTTTTTGCTTGCCTACTACCATATCGCTTTTTGCTGATCGAGTACATTCAAATAACTCACATTCAGATTTGAACTATCTACCTATGTAATTCAGGCGAGGCGAAATCCCCTGAGACTGCTAGTCTAATATATAATACTCTCGTCGGTGTTAGACACGATACTTCTCTGAATCGGCTTTACTGATTTTATGGAAATTTGAGGTGCATATTTAGTAGGTCTGAGAATAACATACCATCTATTTTTCTCATCTGGAAGAGGACCAGGGACATACGTCTTTGGAAAAATATTATTTATTGTTCAATTTACTTGAAATTTGATACATAGGTGTCTTTTTGCTTTGATTAACAGGAAGACTACAATTTCAAAAACAATTTATTTATGGTTGGACTCACCTAAAGTTCGTTACATTGATAGCTTTTTCTTAAGTTATCTTAAACTAAACTATAAAAAAAAACTTATTAATAGGTCGAATCACTTGGAATTCTTTACATAGGTGACTTTTTGACTTGACCTGGAAAAATGTGGACTATTCCTTTCTCCAGGAAGTGGACCAATGGCAATGGTAAAATCAAAAATTTTGTACTGCACAAGTGTTGAGTAAATAATGTCATGGTAATAAGATATGGCAGGGTGCAGCTCTATATACACGTATATATAATTGGCGTTTTGTAACCGCTAAAGCAATTTTCGGCGAAGCTCCTCCTCCAAATTGTGGGTTCGTCTTCATGTTTCTCCAACAAATAAAAGGACCTACAGTTTACACCGCCTCCGAAAGGCTGATGGTTTTTATGAGGAGCTTTTATTTCATGTCAGAAATACATTCGGGTTAAAAATCTTCGATTCTTTCCTAGACATTCTCCTCTAAGCTTACGCATCTAGTTACATCCATTGTACTGTATCAGCTGACTATATTTAAAAATTTTTGCTTTGTTCAACCTAGAGTGACTATGGGTGACCATAAAGTGTTTAAAACGTGCCATTTAAAACATGATACTATTTAATTATATTCTTCTTCTTAGTTGGCGCTGGCAACGCTTGCGCGACTATAGCCGAATTTATAACAATGCGCCATTAATTATTTTTTCTCGCTGTCTGTCGCCAATCGGAGATACCTGATCCTTCCAAGGGAGTGTAGGTCTTCCTCTTTTTCTGCTTTCAGCAGCGGGTACTACTGCGAATATTATTACGTCATGACGTAGCCGCTGTCTCCTCATTCGCTGAACCATGTCAATATCATCGTTTAACTCTTTCAGCTTATCGTTCCATCGTCTGCGGTATACGCCGTTGCCAATACGCAAACAACCATTAATCGTTCGCAAAACTTTTCTCTCGAACACTCCGTGAGTAGACTCATCAAATGTTGACATCGTCCACGCTTCTGCGCAATATTATTTAATTATACTATGAATATATCCCATTGCTTATATGGCTCTAGCATTATTTTCAAACATTGTTATTATGGCAAATAAAACTTTCTACAAGAGTGTAGATTTGACAGTATATGCCTATGATAATGTCATCATCAGCAACGAAACGAAGCGAATGAGTCTGGAAATAAATATGGGTAAGAAGAAAGGAGACATATTTCTCGTCGTCATAAAATGAAAGGTCAGATCACTCGCATATCACGACACTGTCGGCAAGCAAGTCGTATATTGAAAAGTCGTTAATAATCTATTAATAATATATGTCTTCAAGTACAATTTATGGTAAATAGATTTTGATTTTGTTTTTATTATAATATAATATTGTAAATACCACGGGAAACACACATTTTTCGAATATGTCGGTCTCAGGTGAGATTTCCGGAGAAAAGTGTTATCCAAGTCAATTTCGACAATGAGATAGCTATGTACTAAATTTAATGAAAATCGAACTATTAAAAAATATATTGGATTTTTTCGAACATTCTAATCGTCTGTCTATGTCACACGTAGAACTCACCATCCAAATTACAAGGCTCTACTATCAGTTGATTGGGTTGCGGATCGATCTGAAAGACATTTATTTATGTAGATAACAATTTGACAATTAGAGCGTGCTTGAAAATGGTCCTAAACAATTGTTATTAAAATTCGATTGTGAGTATGTAGCTCCGAACTATACTGTAAACAATCGATCAAAGCGTTCTTGGATACAATACAGACAATTGTAAACAAATAAAAAACAACGGCCAAATCTGTTTCAGATCTGGAAAACTAAATTTAAATCAACTATCATATACGAATCTTTGAAAGAACAATTCAGATCAGATCCTGCAGAATCAGTCTAATGGGGGCATTGAATGATTTTAAAAGTTACCCAGTGTGTCACACATTTATGCTTCAAAAGATAATGAATAGAAAATGAGCGTATATAATATTTATTTTTAGAATGGAAATGCTTTCAACCAACATAAATTGGAATTAGCACAGTTTTTAGCAGAGTACGCACATGATCGATAGGTCTTGTCTGAAATGCATCTGACAGATACATGCAAATTTTAATATACATACCTGGGCTCATATACTATCTTACAAGATATCCTAAAAGTACGGTGGCACTGGGCTACTTCTAACGGCGCTATAAACACTACGTCTTATAGTTATATGCCGCCATTTATCTGCAATCTAATTTTATTCTGTAGTTTTGAATAAATGTGGCAAGGAGATTTTTAACGCCATTTATTGCTCTCTAAGATTTAATTTCCCAGAGAATCCATTTTAGGTATTTTTTGATAGCCCATAAATGGATTTATAGCCGGAGGAGGCTACATGGCAACGCAACCCAACTTTACGATAATATTTTAACAAACGTTATAATTAAACTGTATTTCTTATAGATTTAATAATAGAAAACTTCCATCACCTAGGACTTTTGCTGATTCATTTTCGGACAAATCACCAGTTTTAATAGAAATTTGAGAGCAAATATAAAAAAGTTATTAGTAGTCACATGTACAACGGTGATAATAATATTGATGAGTTTAAGCAGATAAAAAAGTGCATTGGAACAAGCAAAGACGATAATATCAAGACATATATAGAAAAGCTGAAAATGAAATTTACTGAAATATATTAATTCTGTGAGGGATATCAAACAAGGTGTCCCACCTCAATGAAATTACCGGAATTAACCAAAAGGCGTCTTGAAACTCAGGTGACGATTAAACCAATAACCCTGAATCTAGTAAACGTGACTAAGCAATTGGATCCAAAGAAATCTTCAGGCTTTCACCTTATTATATCAAAAATGCTAAAAGAGCTGCATGAACTCTTGAAGGCCATTCTAAAACTAGGTTAGTTTCCTATTGCCTGGAGAAAGTCTCAGATATTAATTATAGATAAACCTGGTATAAATTTACCAAACACGTCTTCTTACATACCAATAAGCTTACATTCCTGTCATTCCACACTATTTAAAAGAATTCTGTTACCTAAGAATTATTTTTTCTCCACCATTATGCTGACGTGAAAAACATAGTAGTGTAGCACAAGTTTAAGGAACATTGCTATGCAATATTTCTTGTCGTAGCACAAGCGTTTGGCAAGGTTTAGAATAAAGGTCTATTACACAAAATTAATGGTGGTGACATGACACAGCCATGTAACAAAAGTGAAAACACGATACAATTACATTTCGCCCACAAAAATGTGGTTAACGAATTAACGCAAATATCTAGGCTTACACTTAGATAGAAGGCTCATCTGGAATATGTTTCTTTTGCGAAAATACTGCATATGAAACTAAAAGTAGCGAGCTAAAATTAGCTTTTACATAAGAAAAAACTAGAATACAAAGTACTCATTTGCAGAGCAACTATCAAGTCAATTTATATGTATGGTATACAACTGTTAGGTATTACCTCGCACCTAATATTGAGAAAATAGAAATTCCAGTCCAAAATTCTAAAGGAAGTGATGGGCGCACAGTTGTATGTGGTACGTAACGTAAATATACATATACACCTCGTTATCCTACCGGTTCAACCTGAAGTTGAGAGTAACTTACAAATCTGAAAAATCATCTCAACCCTTTTGCTAACGCTTAGTCTTCGTGAAACTCTTTCAGAAATTCCCGGCTGCTACAAAAGGTTCCTACGTCTCGTATTAATTCGACCGCCATTTGTTAAAGTTTATTAAAGCAAAGTCAGTAATAAATAAATTACGTTTAAGAAAGGTACCGATTTGTTTTGGTAGTCATACTTAAATAGTTCGAAATAAACAGTTCGCATAGCTACTGTAGGTAATCTACTATAACTTGTGATGTGTTGCATTATAAGGCATCAGAAGTTAAGACGTATTATTAATACTGTAGTGCTAAGTATTCACCGGGCATGTAGGATGTGGGCGCATGGCAATGCTTCTATAGAATCTGGCTCTAGTCCAAAAGTTTCACCGCATGCACCACAAAATAGTCCGAGCGCTGCATCAGTTTGGCCGGCCAAACGCAATTGGGTTTTGTACTGCTCCTCATCTCCTAGAGCACGATATATTAGAGCCAGGCGACTACGTATTCTTCGAACCAAAAGCTAAATATAAAAGCATTATCAAGGAAAACATATTGAAAAGAAGGAAAATACAGGTTTTAAATAATTTGCCTACTTTTAAAAATGTTTCTCTTTCAATTAGGGAAAGTACCTTGGAGCCAATCGAGCTTGCCACCTCCAAAAGACGCGTATTGAATTCAAGAGGCCGACAATTGCAAATCTTTTGCTGTAACCGAAGAGCTTCCAAGCAGCGCGCCGCCCCATCCATTGCTTCCATTTGTGCCATCCGATCCCCAACTGCGGCAGATGTTCCCATAGCTTCCTCGTATTGTCGAAAAGCACGCTTAAATGTATAAGTATACAAATAGAATATATAATAGATAGGATCATGCTCAGTATTCACTCACATCCATATCGACCTTTTTGCGATAAATATCGCCCATAACTCGCAAGGTACGAGTGTATGTCGCTTGATCTCCAGAAATTAATGCAAGTCGTGTAGCTTCCTAAACATAAAACAATTTGTTTTTAATTCTGAACGAGAGAAGAATTCATAAACATTTTCTAATAAAAATAAATACTTTTATGTACATATATAACACTCACCATGCAGTAATCGTGGGCATCCCCTAGATCTCCCTGCTTTCGTAGACTGGCCGCCATGCGTAACAGCGCAGCCCGATGATGTGACGAGTTAAGATCGCCAAGCAGCAATGACCGAGATAAATCATAGGCTTTGGAAGCATACATTGCACTCTTATCATTATCTTGCAAGCGACCGAACAACTCAGACAGCGTGACATATACCTGCAACTCAAGCGATGGATCACCAATAGAAGTCGCTATTTTGTGTGCACCTTGTAGACCTTCAAGTGCGCGCGAAAACCCACCCATTTCTAAGTAAACTCGGGCCACTGTCAAATGCACTATCCCACCAGTCCGACATTGGGTACCACAATCATTATACAGCGAATGTCTTGCGTAGCTGAGTGCTCGTTCCAGACCACCTAATCGTTCGTGAGCTCTCGCTAAATTCAAATAAGTTTCCGTCCTCATTATAGGCGAGTCTAATTCCTCGGATATTCCCAATTGCCGATGTCCGAACTCTATTGCCTCGCGATATTTACCCCAGTCCATATGTGCTTGGTAGAGATAACCAAGCAATTGAAAACAATCTTCACGACGATTTGTTGCTTTCAAAGCACTCCGCCAAATACGAACTGCAGCATTTTGATTATGCTGTTCATATAAACGAAGGCCTCGTTGAATCTGATAACAATTAAAATTTAAAGAAATTATTTTTAAAATTTTCCCTTAATGTGGATTCCTCATGAGTAACCAAATCAACTGAAAATGCTTTTATTGATTCGCTACACACTTGTAAATCGGTTTTAAAATTAAAAAAAAATGTAGTTCTACGTTTCAATAAATTGCAGTAAATTAAAAAAAATTTAAATCAAAAAAAGTTTATCCAACCTTTATAAGTTGAGTTATAACAATATTGAACTAAAAAATTAGTTCAACAACAACAAAAAATTCCCTTGAGCACAAATGTGGCTCAATACGAAGACGCTATGAAATAAAGTTCTGTAATTGGAACACAACAAAGCGAATCGAACGTATAATTGCTAAAATTGAATGTTGTTCACTTTAAAATATTTCGAATCTAACAGAATTTTTTTTTTATTTTTTCGAATGATTTGAGGGTGGAAATTTTGTGTAAGCCAACAACCAAGATCCTCTGCATGGACGGGTCCTTGAAATGGTGCCGGGGCTCAGCTGAATCACAATACAGATGACCACAAATTGATGACAACTAAAAACCCGCTGGAAGCAGTGGAAGTCAAGAAGGATCTTGGTCCGATTCTGACTGACCTGAAAATAACGGAAGGTCCTCCGATAAATAGATACGAATTCTGAAGTTCCTCCAGATAAATCTCCAGCACAATACTGTGGCCTCGAGCGAAATTCTTCTTACGCAAGATTAAGAGGCGTTCGACGTATCATTGGTCCAGTGGCTATGTCTTGCTCTTGAAGACACTGACAGAGCACTACATGTGCACAGGATGAATCATTATCGTAGGCGGGTCGCAAATGCACACCACGCCATATGGGCCAGTGGCGACGTAAATGACAAGAGTGAGCCTCTTTTTCGTCATCTACAACAGAGTAATCTTAAGATTATAAATAGAGGTACCGAACCTACGTATATTGGAGCAACGTAAAATAATGTTCTATTAAAAACACTGGTATCCGATAAGACAATTCTAGTTGAAGATAAGAAGGTGCTTAAGGTGCCAAATCTTAGCGCTCATTGGTAAATATGATTGTCTACTGCGTCCAATGATCCTGAAGTGGGATCTCCCAAAGAGAAAACCACCAGAGGAGAGTAGATAGAAAGCGGACAACAGATATTGAACCCAGACAAGGTCAGTTTGGTAGTACAGACGTTCTCGGATAACAAATCACCCGGATTAGATGGGTTCTTTCCGGCTATGCTTCGAAAAGCCGCTGACAGGAGAGTAAAATTCTTAAACACACTCTTCAAAACTTGCATTAGGGAAAGTTATATCCCGGCCTCATGTCGAACGGTTAGTCCTACCCTAAGAAAGTAAAACAGGGCACCTGTACCCTAAGGACTATCGCCTAAACAACTTTACTTCGATCCAATGTATGTATCTTCGGTACAACGGTCGAAAATATTCAGCCTCGACGACGAAACATCCCCAAAGGGGTTGAGGCTGATCGACTTCGACGGGCCGGCATTATGGTTGTCTGTAGCACTAGATTCCAGCACAAGAAAATTTACCAAGCAACTTGGCTCTCCCCTGATCGAAACACACAAAACCAAATTGATCAGAGCCAGAGAAAAATCTGGTACGATGAGGAATGTCGAGCTGCAGTGGAGAGAATACAGACTACCTACCTCGCAACTCTGAGATCGACCACAACAGGTGCGGAGTGGGATAGATATCGAGAGCTAAAGAGAGAAGCAAGACGCATTAGCAGACAATAAAAAAAAAGTGGCCGAAATGCGTGAGTATAAAGAGCTTGAGAAG